TTCTTCACTTCGGTCAATCTGTTTCCAAAATCGGACCTTTTCCTGTGTCTTTTTTAACAATTTGTTTAACTTCTTGTACATTAAAAGCATTTCCTCTTCCCCTCTAGAGCTGCTTTCATAGTTCAGCTGCTATTTAGTTAATAATAAAGTAAAATCATTCAGTTCTTAATTTGTTATTTCAGAATTATCATTCTTGACTAATGTTTCTATTTCTCCTTCCATATATGAATATTCCTTTTGCAGTTTTATGCTTTCCTTGACTTCATTTTCACTCGATGGAAATCCTTTTAAAATTGTTCATTGGCCAGAGCAAAGCCAGAAAACATTCATGGTCGATGAATTCACTTATTTCCCATGGGCCTTCAATCATTTCTATGCAGTGTCTTATGTTGAATTCGCCAACCAGCAGCCGAGCGGTAAAGTCGCTGAACACTGGTAATTCGGTCCGAGGTTCTAATCCCGCGAATGGGCTGGCTGCATGGGCGTTTTCATGGTTTTCCCCATGTGTAACGTGTATACGAGCCAGTTTCCCTTAGAAAACTCTCCACGAAGGCATCCCTTCCCTTAGGCATATAGCCCTTGAGACTTTTCCATAATCACACACTTATGTTGAATTTCTTCCAAAAATGCCATTAGTGTGCTTTCTTTCGTCTAGTACTTTATTTGCAAAGATGTAAACATGCCTCTTGTAACACGCTTTGAATGTTCTTATATTTCCTTGATCCATTGTTTGGATTAAGGGAGTTGAGTTTGGTGAAGAGAGGAGAACATTACAGTTCAGGGTTTTGTTATTCTATGTAATATCTGACTTTTTAATGAATGAATTTTCAAACCAGTCATTAAAGAAAACTATTGCAATGCTGCCAATATTCTGCAACATGCTGCAGTAATTGGAATTCTCACATTGGACAAATTAAATTGATACAATTAAGATAATGCATATAAGCAAATTTGTGTTCTCAGTGTGTTTACTATAATAACAAGGAAATGGGAAGAATGCATTGAAAGAAAACTTAAGCATTCATTTTTCTTTCATTAAAGATTATTTTGGAAATATGCTAAAGATTAAGATTACTTAAAACTCAGTTTTTTAATTACAAATATAAAGGGGGGAAAAGTTTGTTAGACAGTAAGTTCTTTAGTCCACTAACTTCACATTTGTAATACTAAAAGGAGAAAAGCATGTATTATAAAGGACTATTTTTTCCAATTTCCAATAAATGGTTTATGAACATATCTGTTCAGTTTGATTCTTTAAAATCCACAAAACATGTTATGTAACTGAAAGGTAAATATACTGAAAAAAATTTAATGCAGATGACAAAAATCTAAGTATGATCAGTTTTAGGTATTCAAAATAAGTAAACAATCTAAAAGAAAGCAACATATATGAGATAAGAAAATTGTGAAGCAATGTAAAATGGTATGTACATTTTAGTGAATGAAAGCAAAAAAAGAATTACTAATATTAAATCTCCTTGCATCATGTCTAGCAGGGAAATTGAATGCATCGATACCAGTTTTTGGTGCTCTTCGGTTATTGGGACCAGATTCAGAAATGTATGGATGTATGTGTTCATGTGCATATGTATGTATGTGTGTGGTATAACTTCATCACTCAATACATAAATTTTAATAACTGTATATATTATATATACAGTATGTATATTTATCAGTATATTTTTCAGTTTCGTTGTCTTAGTTTTTAAAAATTGGGTACTCGTCTATAATTGGGATCAGATTCAGAAATGTAATGTATGTGCATTTCTGAATCTGATTCCAAGTATAGAGGAGTACCCAATTTTTAAAAACTAAGACAATGAAACTGAAAAATATACAGTGTTATTAAAATTTATGTATTGAGTGATGAATTTATACCATAAACGTAGTTTTCAAGGAGCATAAATATGCCAAGAGATGCAAAAAAGACTAACTGGTACGTTAATGTTTCAATAATTTTGGTAATTTGCAAGTGGAATGTCGGTAAGTCTTTGGTATTATTGATAAAAAGATAAAGAGCAAGATTTATAACATTTCTCACATCGTTCGTTAAGATCCGAAAAAGTTTAACAACGATAATTCAAGCATAGCAAAGAAAAAATAGCACTTTTTCAGTAATTTTATTTTCCTTAAAATGAGAGAAAAAAATTAAAGTACTGCGTACTCAAATAATGTAAAGTGAGGAATGACAACCTTGTCTTCATGGAATGACAGATCTAAACTTTACTTATAATTTCATACTTAAGCAGATTGTCTAAATGTTTTCTATAATTCATTATTGTAGAGAAGCTTCCAAACAAACCTTCTTCTCCGTATTTAATGTGATTCAGCTCACTTCAAAATTTGTGCATGTTGCGTAAATGTTTTCTAAGTTTGCACCCACGGAGTATTAAAAGTATACTCCAGTTGCACCCTATTTTTAAAACTTTTTTCGCAATACATGCAAAGCACACACTCTTCCGAAGAAGACATGCCGTACGCATTCAATCACTACCAAAACATACAACTGTTAGATAGATAGTCAACAATGGACCATCGCGTCAAAGAATATGTTCAACTTTCTTTGATCGTGTCACGTAACAGAAGACCACGCCCACAAGCTGATGTCATCGAGAAGTCTAATTTAATTGGCTAGCTACATGAGGGTACAGCGCGGAGTCTAGCTTCTCGTTGTTTTTTACGGGCGGCTAAAACCCACCGGGAACTGGAGAAATTTAACCAATCAGAGAGGACCATTGCGCCAGGAACTTTTGGCTTCATTTTCCGATCGCCAAACGTAGTTTATTTGTTTTGGTTATTTTGTGGTACGCTGATATGATTTCATATTTAATTTATTGTAGGGTCGATAAGTGAAGTATGTAACTCTTAATTTCGAAAACAAATACAACTTTATATTCCACTTAATTTGCTATCTCAATACCGAATAACTTTTTGATACGCTTTGAAATAAAGCGTAAATATAATAATTGATAAAATTATTGCATTGCGAAATTTCATGGCTCTTTGTGTATTTGAAAATGCTTGGTGATATCTAGGTTCTTATTATTTCATGTACTGTAAACATCGTAAAATTCAATAAAGAAAAATATTTTAAGAATACGTCTTTTTTTATTTAAACTACTTTTAAAACTTTAAGAAATCTATCTTTTGTGTATTTTTCCGTCGGTAAAACTATACTAACAAAAACTCGTAGTAAAATATAAAAAGTACAATGATTATTCAGAGAATCAATATATTAAAATGTTGATGTGGGATAACTCATAAAATAACCCAGTAAACCCATAATCAGGTAACACAGTAACTCCCAAAAGAAAAAATAATTCAGAAATTAACATGAAACTTGTTTTATGCATTATTCTTCATCTAAATAATTCATTTCATTTCATTGTGTTTGTAAAAAACAGTATTTTTGAGTTTGAAATGGTAATCAGTAATGTATCATGCGTCTGGGCATTTTACCTTATATGCTGCTTATACATATTTCTTTACTCAAGATTTTTGAAAAAGCATTTTTACTAAAGTCCCCAGTTTTAATTACAGTCAAATCGTTAATCCGGACTCGTCGGGACTTCGGCGATTCCGGATTATCGATTTTTCCGGATTATAGATCATCAGTTTAAATCTCGTAAGATGGCATGCAGAAATTCTAAAATTAAAAAATATGAAACCGTAATTTATGAAATAAAGAACAATTATGATCTAAAGGGTATCAAAATTTACAAAAAAAAAAAAAAAGCTTAATATTTATTTGTTTACTTTATTAAACATTTCTTTCAATGTAAGTTGTTTAAGTTGCTTCATTTTATGTGATAATACTTTCTCTTTAATTCTATAAACAGACATAATTTCTTGTTCAGTTACAAAGTTCCGCTGTTCAAGTCCCGTTAATTGCTGTGCCGAGAATACCGACTAACTTGTCAATCGAAATTTTTTCGTTTTCACTAACCTCTCTGTCACATTCTTCATGTCTTTATCCATTTTTTGCAGCAATTCCACTTTTTGTTTGTTGGACATCGAAACATACTTTCGTTTTGTAGATCCTTTGGAAGTTCCAGCATCGGAAATTCTATTTGACATAATCGAAAGTTCAAGTTTACTTTTATAAAATTGCTCTTACAGTCTGCAAAAAATAATAAGCGGGATCCAATTCGAAGATTAAGGAACAACGCAATCATTAACATTAACTGAAATAGATAATTAGATAATTTTAGCTTACACCGTCCGTTATACATTAAACGCGCAGGCGAAAACGTATTCTGCACTTGCGCACACGCATATGCGCAGAAGTCAAGGTCTTACGCGCACGTTTAAAACGCCTGTGCGCATGTGCCAACGAGGCGCATGCACAGAAAGTTCTTAGCTTTGAGGTCCGGATTATAGATCATTCCGGATTATGGGTGTCCGAATTAACGACTTTTGACTGTATGTGAATTTCTGTTTTAATGTATTACTAATAAAAGCTGAAGTATTTAAGCATAGTAAAATAAAATAACTTTCTTTCCTATACCTTAAACTTGTATATGAAGTGATTCTTTAATAAATTATGATAATATTGTGAATAATCAGAAATATCACTTTTTAAAGGAAAAATTGGGAAGTACACCCAACAGGGTGCTAATGAAACCTAAGCAAATCCGTGAAATATGCAGAGAAACATCATTTTTTAAAGACTTTAACGTTATGCGCATGCATTTAGATTTCGAACTATTTCTTAATAATTTGCTGCACATAGTAAATTATGGATATCATCTTTCTTACTTTAAAACAAAAATTCAACAATAGCGAGGCATTTCATTATAAATTTAACATATTTTTACTGGAAAATACATGCACGGAACAGCTTAGAAACACGTACATGTCATTGATGTAATGCGATGTTTTGAGGTCACAAACATGGACGCCGCTTGTTCGGCGGAGGTTTCATTCCCCTATAGTGGAGGACACGGCGAACCCTCCCTCCTTCTATTCTAACCTCCTTGGTTTGCGCGCAGAGAAATACGCGCTTGATATCCTTGTCAAACGTTTCAGAGAAAGAATTGGCAACATTATTTTCAAGGTTATCATACATGTGTTTACGAAGTAAACAATGTTAGGCAAGCGGTTGATTTTGGTGTGATTTAAATTCAGTTTTGTATTTAATTTAAAATTCAGATGCAGTTGTGGATGGCTAAGTTTTTAAAATTAAAGTAAGATACTGATTACATTTCTTCAATGAGATTGCACTTTCACATTATGTTTGACACCAAATATTCGAATTTTTTAAGGATTCGTTATATCATTTATATATAGGAACTGTTTAATGGGAAACAAACGTTGCTAATTGCTAAAATTTATTTAACTTATTTCTAACCATAAAATTTAAGTTATACGTTTTATATAATAACTAATATAGTTTTTCTTTTTAATACCACAGTTATTTTGTGAAGTTTGCTCGAACTACAAATATTAGGATACCAGTATGTCATTCAAGTTCAGTATCGTTAACACAGCAAGAAGTTGCTACTGCTCTGAGGCCATTTTATTTTGTTGTGCATCCTGACCTTTTTTATCAGTTTCCGAAAGAAAAGGTAAGTTAACCATGTTAGCATGTCATCTTTATACATAATTTTTTAAGTTTGTATAATGTGTGAATCTATTAATAACTTATCTATTCAGTTCACATTAATTAGTGTACAGAACTACTAAATTTTTACTGTTCTGAGTTCAAATTCATGCGCTAAATGTGTAAAACCATTAAACACATATTTTCCTCCTGATTATATTTCCATTTCATGGACATTCTGATTAAGTTCTGCGCTAGTTTAAATAGAGCCAGTTTCAATTAGATAACTGAGTGGAAGATTCTTTGCTTTTGCCTGTGAATAATATAAATTTAAGTGAATTTGTTGTAGGTAGCTTTTTATGAAGTAGCTCTTCAAAGGAACATAGAAAATAAATTACTATGAGAAAAGTTGATGAGGGAAGATGAGGACTCTCATTTTCGAAAGATGCTTTTGTGGAAAGTTATCTTAAAGAGATAGCTGTTCATCCTTTTTTATGGATTAAAATTATTAAAACCTGAGGTATCCAGCCCATTTAGTAACCAAGGGTCGAATCTAGAATGTATTATCAGCATCATGATAGCTGATATAATGTAATAAGTTTCAGATTTGCACTTGGACTTTTTTTCAGTCAAGTAAAAGAGCTGTTTAATGCTTTTAACATAATTATTTGTCTTTTAAAACATGTATTCCACACTGGACCAGATTAAGACTCTTAAGCTGTGTACCCATGTACATGTGTGTCACTTTTCTCCTCATTCTTTTTAGTCGTGGCTTAGCTATACCATACATTCCATACTGGTAAAACTGAAAAATGAGAATTTTTTTGTGTCATTCCCTTGTTCTTGGGATACTTATTTTGCTTAATGATTAATCTGACTGTGATTCCACAGAAAGTTTTCATTAATCTTTGGATTATGGTAACTTGGTGATTTTTCGGTGAAAATTTGGCGACCAACCCTTCTACAGCAACCTGCTAGTTTTTGTTTGGGTGCCATTTTGTTTTCACAAAGTAAAGGCATGTTTTTTTTACTCAACATATTTTTACAACAATCTGCTAGCTGAATTACGCTTATGCTAGAACTTTTATGGAACAAAAATTCTTAATCATGACAAAGATTAGGTGCGAAATTGGGAGAAAGTGCAGAATCGCAAACTGCTTGCCGCGTTTTTAAGAATTGCACATACACGGTATCCATGCACACGTCGATCTATTTTCACTTAAAAAAAAGGAACTACTCTGATATTGCGCCCTCAAGTCACCAAATATTTTTGGCGAGAAACTTCACGCTGCCATATTACTATCTAAATTTTTTGTCTACATTTCGAACTTTTAGCCTAAAATGTCTCCCAAAACACGGTTTTCGCACATGCAAAACGTACGTTTTCAACATATAATTTAGCTAAAAATACGAAAGAAAAACAAAAAATTTAGATAGCAAAACCGTAAAGTTTCTAACCAAAAATATTTGACAAGAATCCATGTACACGGCGACATGTTTTAACTTAAAAAAACATCTACGAATGGCAAAATGTAGGCAACGAACGAATCTACAAACCAGGTACACCTCACTTTAATAAATTAACATAACAACAATAAATTTCAAAGAATACCATGTACACAGCATCCTGTTTAAACTTAAAAAAGTTCTACGAATTGCACAATTTAGGCAAGGAAGGAATCTATGATCTACGCACTCCTCGCTTTAATAAAATAACATAACAACAATAAATTTCAAATAATACCATGTACACAGCATTCTGTTTCAACTTTAAAAAACATCTACGAATTGCACAGTCTAGACACTAAACAACAAAATAAATTTCAAACAATTTAAAAAAACAACAATAACGACAGAAATTCAGGTAAAATCCTAGTATACGGTGCGGCCTTGGCGCAATTTTTAAAATTGTCGCTAACACCAAAATGATGCATTTACGTTTGTCGCCAAATTTTTGGCAACCTCAAAGTAAAGCGTCACCACAAGTTTGAGTTGGCAAGTAAACAAAATGATAATCATAAGATAATAAATCCTAAGCATACGGTGAGACACAAGAAAAAAAGCAAACATTTATAAATTGAAAATAATTTTTAACAGACTTTATAACAAATAAAAATATAATTTTCAACGTGCATCGCAACAAATACAAAACATTCACATATCAAATATAATAAATTAAATACCATGGCTAAGTGTCACATATGTTTTAGGGTCTATATCATAATTCAAATGCCATAGCCCTCAAACTCGGGTGGCGGATATATTGCTTTTATTGCAAATATAAAGTCTTTCATTTTTTCGGATGACGATTTATTATTTTTCAGGCGCCGCCACATATATTCCGCCAAATAAGAGTCAAACTCTTCGCTTACCTTTTTCGTCCCCTTCATCCATCCTACGCTTAACAGCACTCCACGTTCCTTCCAAATCCTAGTATACGGTGCGGCCATGGCACGATTTTTAAAATTCGGCAGCAATCCGGCATCTACTGCCCATTGAATCACAACAAGCTTTCCTTCCAGTTCTAACTTCCAAAAAAATTTTGTGTTTAAATAATCGCAATTCATAGCACTGCACATCATAACCGAAAATTAACGTTATCCAACTGTAGAACAAAATACGTTAGCAAATAGAACTGTAGAACAAAATACGTTAGCAAATAGAACTGTAGAACAAAATACGTTAGCAACTCGAAATGTAGAATAAAAGACGTTATCAAACTAAAATCATATTCAGTATCTGACCAAAAACCGATTAATTAAAAAATATTAACCAATCAGAAACTTGGCGAAACCACTACTGTTATTATAAAAAATACAAAAAATAAAAGTATCCTTTCTCATTCAGTTCAGCCAAAGATTAACGAAACTTCAATCAGTGGTTTGAAATAATTCTTCTCTTCCATCTGCACCAATCAAAACTTCTCAATTTAAAATATTTAATGAGCATGTGCGAAAATGCTCCCAAATACACTCTTTTCCAGAGCATCCAAATCGGCTTGGTTACCACAATTGGCGTGCTTACTAGTCTCTTAAACCCGAATTTCGCCAACTCTCATGTGCACCGTATACTAGGATTAAGCCGAAATTCATACTAAAGAACCAATGAACATAACATTCTACAAAATAAGAACAAGGATAAAATAAAATGCACTTACCATGAATTAATGCGTTTTCGAATAGCAGAAATATAAATTTCATACCGCCTTTAACATGCCGCCACGTAATCACTATCGTATTTAAATGACAGCCAGACACACTATCCAGAAAATTTATACTATGGTTCACAAATAAATAAAATCACAAATCCCTACTTCTATCATGCACTGCCATTAAAAATAATCTCCCAGACCCTCTTTCCACACTTCCAAATACCCACTACTCCTCAACAGGATAGCCGCAATGATGTTTCCTTTTGCCGAACTTCAATTCAACAACTACCATTTTATCTTTCCCTCCCATCTTCTCAGACACAGAGGCAAATCAACGAGCTCCAGCGAAAGATTTTTCAACGTCAACAGGGTTGCCATAGAACACGCAATCGTGCCAAAAACCAGCGCAGAACACATATCGCCACATTTGGTGAAATTAGGGCGTATATTAGAGTTGTACCAAAAAAAAAAAAAATATCCCAGAATTGCACAAAAATGGCATTGCGCACACTCTTGACTTTATCCATGTACACTGCTAAAGTCCTAGCTAGTAGCCTTTATCGCCTTACCAAAATGTCACCAATCTACCTGTTACCATATTCCAAAGATTAGCCAAAGTTGGTTAGTTTTTTTCATTATTGCACTGTAGGAAGAGCATGCATTCTCACGTTCAGTGCAGTATGAATGTTGCTATAATATTTATGGTAGATTCCCTCTTTTGTCCTGAGAGGCAAGTTGTAGCAGATTGCAGTTCGAGACTAAACCAGGACTTAATTTCTAAAATTAGAAGTGCCAGAACCCTATGGAAGATCATCAGGAAAGAGGAACAAAGTAAATAAATAAATTACTACTATAATCTTAATAATTAAAAAATTAATAGTTAATTATTAAATTAGTAAATAATTTTTAATTAATAACAACAATTAATATTTATTAATCATTATTTACTAATCATTATAATAAATTAATTATTGATTATTATTTATTAAATAATTAAAAAATTAAAATGAAATAAAATATAAAGAGCCAAATTAAAATTTAATAAGCGATTTTTAATGTAATTTTATTGCTGCTAAAAATAAAATTGTTGAGATCAAATTTCTACTGAAATTATTGTTCCGTAATTACATAAGAGAAGTGCTGGAGGGCTCCGGTGCACTCTGTGTAGAATTATGATTTATCCCATAAACTGAGAAAAACCAGAGCCCAGGCTCCGGCGCAATTTAAGCTCTGGTCTAAACATGAGAAAATTAAAAACATTAAACAATATCAAATATCACTTCTTTTCATTTAAGAATTCTATTACAGAAATATAAAAATCAAGGGTGAATCTTTACATTATGGTAACTTCACGATTTTTTGGCGAAAATTTGGCAACCAACCCTGCTACAGCAACCTGCTAGTTTTGTTTTGGGCGCCATTTTGTTTTCATAAAGTAAAGGCATTTTTTCCAGCAATCTGCTAGCCGAATTACGTTTATACTAGAACTTTTATGGAACATAAATGTTTAATCATGACGAAGATTAGGAGCGAAATTGGGAGAAAGTGCAGAATAGCAAACCGCTTGCCGCGTTTTTAAGAATCGCACATAATCGGTATCCATGTACACGTCCACCTATTTTCACTTAAAAAAACATCGCAGAATTGCACAAAAATGGCATTGCGCACACTCTTGACTTTATCTATGTACACATCGACCTATTTTCACTTAAAAAGTCAGAAAATTGACAAAAATCTAATTCTTCTTACTCTTGTAAAAAGCGCCAAACAAATAAGTGGGCGATTCTGCACTTTAGCAGCGAAAATTGTTTCCTAAGTGCTTATTAGCTACAAATTACGATCGGAATTTTCAGGAAAATGTCACATGACATGTCTCATGATCTCTTACTTCTCTAAGACAAAATAATCTGGGATTCGAACTGTGTACTTCTCAGATTATTGCTAAAGTCCTAGCTAGTAATCTTTATCGCCTTACCAAAATGTCGCCAAACTACCTGTTACCATATTCTAAAGATTAGCCAAATCAAGCTTTAATATTGTTAAATATAGAAGAAAAATTGTTGTTTAGGCAACAGATTTTGCATCATACATGCTCTGAGCTATAAAATTAAATGAAAAACTTTTCCTAAGCTTGAATTTATGTAAGTATTATATTAGTGATTTTTTTTTATTTAGTATAATTATTATTAAGCCTTATGATTCAAACCAAAATGTTAACCATTTGTGAAACCAAAATGTTCTGAAACTTGCACAAGAATTTACATGATCGTAATCTGAATTTAAATCTGTTTGCTGAATTTTTAACCATAAATTCACATAATAAGAGAAAGATGTTATGTTATATTAAATGTAATTCATTTAAAATATTTTTTGATTATATAAGGATTGTAGTATTTAACTTTTCCAAATAAAGCTTTTTAAAACTCCCCTGGAAGTAATTTAGTATTTGTATAAATTTGTTTTTAGTTATGGTATAGATGCATAATATAAATTTTTAATATGATCTTAATTTGCTTGTGAAGAGGAGGAAAAATTTTCTGTTTATAATTTCCAACAAGTTGTGAGATTTCAGTAATTAAATAACAATCATAATGTTTAAAAAATTATTAATAATTGAAACTCATCTGTGCACATAAATCACACCTCAGAAATATTTGAAAAGTTTTAAAAATCTTCAGTTATGTCAAATTTTTAAAAGAATCAGAAAAAAGTTTAATCATTTATTGTAAAATATAAAAATTATCTCATCTTTTATATGTACCTAAAAAGCAACCTTAATTTTATATTTTATGCATATCCTGATCAGAGTAGAACTTGTATTCATCTATATCAGAGTTTTTTAAACTTTCTTCATTCATCATTTCATTCTTATCATTGAGACTTTTTCACTATCTCAAATATTAGATATCAAAATAAAGATATAAAAATAAATATTTTCCCATGAATTGTTTATTTCTTTAGTAAATAACATACAAAAGAAGTTTTAGTATTTGCTTCAAGTTAATGAAGGAAAATCACATTTTAAGGAGATGAATGCACTTTTCCCCCCCCCCAGATGGGAGTCTGTATAACCAATTAAATCTTGGGACACTATTTGACACTGCTGGATGTAAAATGTTTTTCAGCTTTTTTTCAGCTTTCTATAATATTTGTATTTATCAAGTGTTAAAGCTGAAAAAGTTGTTCATTATTTATTGAAAAGAAATTTTCACATAAATATGGGGTGCTGAATGGGAAAAGAACATTTAGCACCCTTTCAGAGATTCTCGGAAAGTCTGTTCTAGTTCTGATCTGGAATTCAGTCAAGGAATTTTATTCAAACTCTCGAGTTTTGAGTCATTCAGTAGCTGAACAAATTCCTCTTGGCGAGTTCCTTTTGTCTTACAAAACACATTATATAGCAGGTGATCAGTCTCATTATTGTCAATCAGAAATGGTGTTTGTATCCTAGATAACATTTTAAAATCAATGTTCAATACAAAATATTTTCAAACTGTGTTTCGTAGACTTTTAAGTGATCTGTAATAATTTGGTACTTTCATCATAGGACAACCACTTTGGTGCAGTTTAGCAAATTTGACAGTATAAAAAGAATTATGATTTATATTTGTAAAGAATTATTTCTTACGTACAGACATGTTATTGCAGACATATTTTATATTTTATTTATCTCAAAGATCACTTTAAGAAAGAGATTCAAAGCAATTGTTCCCTTTAGCAATTTTAATGTAAAATACTACATTCCTGCAGAAATTTTACCTCTTTCTTCATTGCAAGCAAATCTAACAAGCACACATTTTGAAATTAACTTAAAGATCTTCCAAAAAAGTCATATTTTGTGAATAAAAACTGTTGGAATACAGAATGCAGCAGGAAGAATATGTACAAAAATGATAACAGTTTGTTTTGCAAGTATTTTTTTTAGATTATAAAATAGTTGATGGTAAAAAAACTTGCCAAAAGAATTATTTTCCCACCTTATTCTTCCAGTGTGGATCTTTTCACCAAAACCCTCAGTTTTAGTGTTTAAAGTAAATATGCTATACAGTCAAAAGTCGTTAATTCGGACACCCATAACCCGGACCTCAAAGCTACAAACTTTCTGCGCATGCTCGTAAGACCTTTACCGCTGCGAATTTGCGTGTGCGCGTGCGCAAAATACGTTTACGAATGCGCGTTTAATGTATAACGGACGGGATAAGCTAAGCTAAAATTATCTAATTATCTATTTCAGTTAATTTTGCAGATTGCGTTGTTCCTTAATCTTCGAATTGGATCCGGATTATTATTTTTTGCAGACTGTTAGAGCAATTTATAAAAGTAAAGCTTGAACTTTCGATTACGTCAATAGAATTTCCGGTATATATTTACTAATATGTAAAGGATATACAAGCGAAAGTATCTTTCGGAGTCCATTTAACAAAAAGTGGAATTGCTCCAAAAAATGGATAAAGGCTATCCTTTGTTTATCTAAACTTTAACGTTTGTTTTATCTAAACTTTAACGTTTGTTTATCTAAACTTGTTTATCTTTAACGCCGGGCGGCGTGCATTGAATTGGAAGTTGATCTCAGCACTATCTTATCTTAACGGCAGATGTTTTTATTTATTTTGGCTTATAATTGCTTACTCAATGTAGTATTTCATCTCATCTGTTGATATGATTTGAATCAAATGCCTCGTCATTATAATTCGCTTCCGATAGCGAAGAAAGTAACAGAGGTTATTGAAAACGAAAAAATTTCGATTGACAAATTAGTCGGTATTCTCGACACAGCAATTATAGGACTTGAACAGCGGAACTTTGTAACCTGAACAAGAAATTATGTCTGTTTATAGAATTAAAGAGAATGTATTATAACATAAAAAAATGAAGCAACTTAAACAACTTACATTGAAAGAAATGTTTAATAAAGTAAACAAATAAATATTAAGCTTTTTCTTTGTAAATTTTGATACCCTTTAGATCATAATTGTTCTTTATTTCGTAAATTACGGTTTCGTATTTTTAATTTTATAATTTTTGCATGCCATTTTACCAGATTTAAACTGATGATCTATAATCCGGAAAAATCGATAATCCGGAATCGCCGAGTCCGGATTAACGACTTTTGACTGTATATATTTTGCTATTTTTTTAATTTATATTGCTATCTTTTTCCTTGTAGTGACATGTTGAGATCATTTAATTTCTCTAAAATATCTGACAAACAGCACAGTGTTAATAGCCATAAGTCATTTTGAGAAGGAGCAGCAAGATCAGATTTTTGTTAGCTTAAAAATGTAATAATTTTGTCTTTTAATAATAATAATTTTCTTGAATTTTGCCCTTTGGACATCCAACTTACTTTTGCTTGTAGTAATCAATTTTTGTATTTGCTATCCATGTCTTTATAAAAATTTGAAAATTAATAGCTGTTAAGGGCATTGTATATTAAAATTTATTATTTTGACAACACCTTGAAGTAAGTACATCATTCAATTCTGTTGTGAATGTTTTTGCTGCAAAGGCCTTTCTGATGGATCAAACACCGTTTAAACATTAACATGATCATTACCAGCAACTTTAACACATGATTTAAAACCAGTATTCTTGCCCTTCACTGCTTTTATACTCATTTAATTCTTCCATTATAAAGCTTCAGTTTTAAAACATTCATCATCTATATATGTCTTTCTCTTTCATATATTTTTCCAAAGGAGGATAAAATAACAGTTCTTCGATATATTTTTTCTAAATACTGTATGTGACAAAGTCTAACAACCTAGTTTCTTTTTAAATATTAGTTGTTTTGGGCTTTCTTTTTAAAGTCTAGTAATTAGTTGCTTGAATTAGACATTGCTAACGTCAGAAAATCTAGTGGTAGCCATGTCATTTGACAAAGGAATTTTCCGAATTTCATCACTATATTTACATCCATGATGTATTTCTACCATTTAACTCCTTTGCATGGAAAAGGGACTAAACCTGTTTTCCTCAAACATAAAAAACAATGTAGTATATTAAATTAAAGATAATGAAGGAATTGCAATGTTTTTTAAATTTGTGAATCTGTATTAAATTTTTTTCGATTCTAACATATTGCTTTGCATCCCCATTTGGGGCTGTTGCTCACAGGATTGATCTATGTAAGTTGATTTGTTTATATATGTTCATTCATACATATTAATTTTTCAATTAATGGGTATGAATAAACAAATTCAATTTCTTAAAGAATGTGTCTGCTTTTTTTCCTTTTTTAAATAAAAATGTCTAAGCTATCATGTTAACAGTTTTTGTATTTATTGTTTTCATGTTAATACTGTGTTTGTGTTAATTGTTTTAAACATATAAATTTATGTAAAATTTAGAAATTTCAAAGTAACGCTTGTATACATCACTCCAGAAATATTTAATTAGAAACCATTATAACTATCAAAATTTTTCTATGCAAAAACTCATGATATTCTTATTTAATGTTATTAATTTCACAGATGTTTTGAGATAAAATGATTTTTCAGAGATGCTCAATTTTACATATCTTCAAAAACTTGCTTTAATTATTAGAATCAAAGGTATTGCCTTCCATAGCAATAATATATGATAAAAAAGCAATTTAGAGCATTACAAAAGTTATTTTTTATAAATAATTTTTTTTCATACTTTCATGATTTGCTTCTTAAATGTTTTTCATTAAATTTCATTTCTGTAAAGAGTTTTATTTATTAATGTTTATTCTACATCAATATTTTTAATTTTGTCAATAAAATTTTTTCACAATAAATATACAGGTCATGCTGAATTTCTAAAAATTCTGTTTCAGAAATATTTATTATGTTATAGCTGATTAATGCTAAATAAAATTGGCAAAAAGAAAAAAAAAATAGAGTGAATACATTCATATGAAAAGATCTCATACTATTCAGAGCTTGATAAATTATTCCTCTTCTTTTAGTTTTATCTAACCTTTTATTGGAGTGAAATATCGCATCTTAAATGTTCTGCTTCCGATATCTGGGACTCGATTTTTTTCATTGCCTTAGCAGTGAATGCTTTTCGACTCTCTCTTAGAGAAAGTGAGGCATACATTCATTAGTTAGTATCAATATTAATGTTTTATTTGTTTCTGGAAGAATCATTACAAGACTTATGGCATTTTTACTGTATATTTCTCCCTTTTCTCCCTAAATTTATTGTATGAAAATCAGAAGGAGAAAATTGTGAGAATAATTTAATTACTGAGGGATGTGATTACAGTAAGCAATAGCAAATGAAATGTATTCATAGATAGACTATCAGTAATTATTATAATGTTATTTATTGAAAAGAAGTTTATATTCCAATTAAAATAAATAGTAATATTAATATCAAATAATTTAATAAGGTATCTTCATCTCTACTTACCTGTGCCTTGAATCTTGGTTGCAGCTATTCCTGTCGACTGTTTCTCATTAGGCTTCAAATCATTTATTGCTACCAGAACTACTGTTTGTATCTTCTGCTACAGCTTGCCAGCTGTCGCTTTCAATGCTTGTTGTCATCATCTTCATCAACATTTAGTCTATCTTCCCACATGCAATGATCTTCATAGCCATCAAGAACATTATATATTCCTCTTTTTTGAAGCTCTTCATGATTATTTCTTCATCAGTCACAGCTCATGCACCCCAAATCCATGAGTTCCTTACTAATTGGAATCTTGCTATCCAGTTAGTAAGATGAAAACAACCAGTATGGGGATGAATCTATTTTAAAATGTATCAGAACTTGCTCTCTGAATACCATTGAGAAAGGGAAATAGTATTTTAAATACATGAATATTTAAAATATTTTCAAAACCTTGTGCTAAAATGTTCGGGGAGGAATACATGAGTAAAAATGGCATATTTTCTGTTAATATTGTGGTTGTTTTCTTGCAAAACTGTGTGAGAGACCATTTCTTTTATGGCTTCTGTGCACTGAAACTATATTTTCTGACTAAATTTTATATCTTTAAAACCTGGTTCAAGTTAAGAGGTTATCACACATGGTTACAATCTGTGCTAGACGGGACTTTTCTGAGAAACGAGATTCTGGTAGCACTGATTTAAATGGGAGGATTCCTAGAAAAAAGATCTGCGCCTGAAGCAAAGTCCCACCTAGCTACAGAAGCAATGCTGAGGCTACGCTGGATTTTTTTCAAACCTGACTGAAAATGAATCCTTTTCGACATCAAGTCCCGCATAGCCGAAGCATAATGTGATTGGGATCTTATATTAATTTAATGGGTTAGCAAAATTATTCATTTTGATATAATACCATGAAATTGCTCTCATATTGCTTAACATGTTAAAAAATATCAAGCAAAAAAGTACATATAAAATTTTAATAGTTCAAACATAATTCTCTCTCTTTTTTTATGGATATGAGTTACTCTTGACCTGTAGTTGTAGGAACATACTCCAAAATAAGTACGTATTATATTTGTTAAGAGTAGGTGTATTCATACACCAAATTATATATAAATTTTCTTAAATTCCCTTTTCTGTAACAAATGGATATTTATGCAATACTGCAAGTAGATTCATTTCCGCATCATATTTAATCATATGTTCCTGTTTCCATGCTGATGAAAGTATTAAATAGTCATGCTGTGCAATTCAGCAAAATTCATGAATTCTGCTTCAGATATAAAATTTTAGTATTAATATTAGTCTAATTTTATATCATGCAATCTGATAAATATTTTAAAATTCTGCTAACAGTTTGTCACACATATTTATTCATATCAGTTTTTAAAGCCATCTACGAGTTAAAAATAGGTAGTTTCTTAACTTCAACTGATAACCCTTTTGGGAAAGATCTTCACCACTTAGGGTTACTATGCACAGTGGCCAGCTAGATGTAGTACAGGAAAATGATTGTTTTTAGTTCAGATGGTAAATTAAAAATATTGATAGTTATTTCTGAAGTTTAAACTAGGTTGTAAGGAACTTAAGTTTTACTAACGTTTATTTTATTTAAATCTTATCACTCTGTTTCTATTCCGGCCAATTAAAGCCTTACTTTTATGCAAATTGCTGCGAACGCAGGTACTTAAGTGGGCTTGTTGCCAGCAAGAGAGAGGAATGAGTGATTAGGAGCTGCCATAGCAGTTACTCGTTTGGTTGCCTCAAGCCAGGGTTTATCCCTGATAATTTTAAACATATGTTGCAACAGTTCTCGATACATAGCCTTCTGTAATATACGGCGCAATCTTCAAGTAGACACTTTTTATAAATCCAAGTTCGTTAGTTGATTAGTATATTTTTATTCTTACTTCAGACCAAGTGGTTGTCTCTGTATTCAAGTCGAAATCATGTAAAGAGAAAAATAAAGGGTTCGTTACCATTATGGTATTGTCTATTCCCAATTTATGAACAAGCTTAGTAGCTCCCTGTTCCGAGTATGGTCATTTAATGTTCCCAAAGCAAGTAAGAAGGAACACTGAACCTGATAAGGTATCGTTTGGGCCTTCCAGTTTTTATATTGTAATTATGTTGAGATGCAAGTAACCTAATTTTAAATTTAGTTTGCAAGGAGCAAACTTGTCATTCTGTATTATATTATAAGCTCAGCATCATAAGTGTTGGCTTGCATAAATTTTGTTTGATTTAATCTTGTAATTTTATAAATCCTGTTTGTGGGGAAGGCAATAATTTGCTGACAGTGTTTTATGGCTCCATAATCATTAGATGTTAAACAGAATTTCAGGGAAAATCCTGTATAGAGCTACAACATTGTAGGTGAGGTTTACTGAAACATTCATTCCACTGGTAAAATAGAAATTAAGAGATTATATAAGTTAAGCATCATCTATTTAAGTTCATGTAGTATGCCACTGAAACATCAAAAGCCGTTAATTATTTCCTTAATTATATTTTTGCTTAATGGGCTGATGGCTAATACAGACTAAATATAAAAAAGTAAGGTTTTATTTATTTAGATTTATTGATTCAGTTTTTGAAACCTTTTTTTACACATTTTTGCCTCATTAAAATATATAATTATTTTATTCATATTTGTAATTACTTCATTCATTTTGATTTATGCATTTCTTTCATTTGATCATGAACTTTTTATGAAAGTAAATAAA